TTTTTTTTGCCAACAATGTGAGGAAATACGTTAATTTAATTCCATGACAGTTTGGTAATTTTTATATATTTCATAGCGAGTTGTAGCCGAACTTAGAAACACACTAAAATATACACACGAAATTGTCTTAAATTTGAATTAAATTTGGAGGTAAAAAAAACTAGCCTAAAAATATACTACTTGCTTAATTGCACCATGGACCACGTCTTGCCTAATGATGCTGAAGATCCTTTGAGGAAATTTCATTAAAGACGTTTCAGTTTTTACGAAGCATCTTTACAATTCTTATTCAAAATTTTGCGTAGTTTAATTACCGACTGAAACTAAAGACGCCATGAGAATTTTATTTGCTCAATAATTCTAAGCCAGAAGCTCACCAAATGTGATAAATTAAACGAATATGAACCATGTATACTTTAAGTCATTTCCAAAATTACTAATATTGGTGGTCACTTTAGGCTTATATCACGTGTAATTTGCCAGCTACTTATCTAATTTTCACAGCTCTGTTCTAGGACCATTGAAAATTATAAAATCTATCCTTTAAAATCCTTCTTGACTAAAGTTAGTCTAAATTCTCAGCGTACTGTTGAGTTCTAGAGGATATTATGATTGCAATGTTGTTGTTTTTTTGGCAATGTTTTTCAATGCAATTCGACGTAAGTAAAAGCAAACATCGAAACCAACAAGTTTGACAGTCTACGATTCTTGACTTCCGCTCAAACAATGAGTCTGTAATTCCGAATCTTCCCCTATTGACTTATGCGCATATATTTTTATTTTTATTCAAGAAAACCAAAGTATATACATTCGTTAGAAAAGCCTGTAAGAATTCGCCTTCCAAACTCAGTATCACGTCTCAATAAGGAAAATGTGACAAGATATAATATTAAAAACCATAACAGCAGTGAATGAAATTACGCGAGGGATAAAAACATCGATCGCCTGTGAAGTAGCGAAGAGGGGTCTCTTATGATTGATAGCCGAGAGCAATACCGCGAGCATTCTTACATGTAAAAACCGTATGTAATCTAGATGGCCTCACTGAGAAGCGGGCTTAAGACTTTTGAGAACCTGGATTAATATAAGTAAAGATCTAATGCATCTGTTAAGAGCATTGAGCAAAATAGGGGGAAAATGGTAATTGATGTTAATAGAAATTGAGCCTAATGTTACAACGAAGCATAGAAATCTTCTTCCTTATCACTTCTTTTATTATTGCTTCCTTCCTATTTCTCTCTTTCATTCATTCATTCCTTCTTTCTTCTTTCACTTTTTTCTTTCGTTATTTCGTTCGTCCTTTCTTTCTTTTGTTCGTTCGTTTGCTTATTTATTGTCTGTTTACCTCCAGTAGAATCTACAGATCTGCTATTTTATCTCGTCCTAGAAACAAGTTTCTACACAAACCAACAGTTTAAAGCTTTTCGTAGTCTGTGTTCTTTCTTTTTAAGTGAAATTTCTTTCTTTATTCTTTTCTTTTCCTTCCATTTATTCTTTTCATTATTTCATTCCTGTTCAAATCTAAATTTGAATTAAGCTATAAGTATAATATCAAAACTGCTGATAAACATTTATTCTGATAACATCAATAAAGATGCCTTCTCAAGGCCTCTAAGCTACAAAATCATCAAGCAAGTTATCAGTCGACTTGAAAAGCCAATACTAGACAGTATATGTACAGTATGATTAAAGACCCCTACATTTGTTATATTGACCGTGATATAAGCTTGGCGCCTTGTATGAACAATAAAACGGCTAGGTCAATGATCCTTTTTCACCGTCTCCAGATGGATTGATTTTCAGACCATGATTAGTGTTTTGTTTCACAAGGAAGAGAACATCGTATATGATGATGTCGCTTTTTTCTTCTGATTTCATTACGTTTTTCTTTGCTCCGCTTTTTGTTTTATTTTTGTCTTATTTTTGCTTTTTTTTTTTTTTTTTCCTAATTTTCTGAATTTGAAAATTAAAACAACAAGGCAATGTTCAGATATATTCATTTGTCAGCTCTTTTTCATTCTCTCCATTTTGTTTTTTCCTTTTCTTTTATTTTCCTTTTTTGCGCGGCTTTCCGCTCTCTCTTTCCGCTTTCCTAAATATGTGAACTTAAAAAAAAAACAAAGAACAATTCTAAAAAATATTTCTTCATTAGAACAATGAAGCCTGAAATATTAAATATTTCGATATTTTGACCGAGTCTTGCAAAAAGGAATCCGGTTTATTTGTGCACAGTTTAAAGAAAAATATAAATGATGAAACGTTTAGTGGCGTTGCTTAGGCAACCAAAAAGGAATATTTATTTTCCTGCTATTCGCCATTGCGAACTTTTCCTGTAAATTTTTTCTTTTATATTAATCTTATATTCAATAGATAAATATACATTAACATAGCAGTATTTTTGTGCGCTTCTAATAAAAAATTCATTTCACAGACTAAACAATTACATCTTTTTTCACGTATAATTAATGCTGCAAATCCTTGAAATTTCATTACAATAAAATAAACAGATCAAAGTCAAGTCCATCATTCGAGAACGCGAATTTTAAGCCTTATTTTGAATAATAGATTTAAAAAGTTTTAAAAGATGAATGAAAACGCCGATCACTTCGCGTTCTTTTTTTCCGTCCGCCATGTTTGTTTTCTTGGATGATTTGACGCATTCGCATTTTTTCGTACACATTTTCAGCCCTGATTACCAACACTAGAAAAGCTTTAAATGTACATTTTAGATATTGTTAATGAACTAAGACGAAAAATATTTGACTCCAGGAAATAAGCTGTACACTATTTTAACTGATTTCGGCATTTTTACGTGACGTCATGGTGGCCATGTTGGTGCACAGTCTTCATATTCAGGGCCCGGTTTCACGAAGGGTGAATAGCGCTATCCGACGAATAAACCTTATTCACTGGATAAATTTATTGGATAACAGCATTGATTTATCCACTGGATAAGGATTTATCCACTGGATAAGGATTTATCCGTCGGATAGCGCTATCCACCCTTCGTACAAACGGGCCCAGAGTTATATATCGTAAGCTTCTATATATTTTTATGTACTCCAACATGACCGCCATTTCGAATGAAAATCAAGAATAGTCGGCAAGTCGGGTCAGCCCTCAGTGCACACAACCGCTGACTCGTTCAGTCTAGTCTTGGCAACCAATGCATTGTAATTCTATAATTTATTTTCATATCCAAGGTAATATCGCGTTTTTCATATTTGTCTATCAGTTATCTATCAAAAATAACGAGTTAATTTTTTTTTAAAAAATTACAAAAACCTTTAGAGCTTCAATTTTACCATCATTAATATGGCGGGCGTGACGTCATACGAAGGGTGATGATATTTGGCTCTGTGGGATCAGTCATGGTTAGCGTTAATTGGTCTTGTTGTTAGGAGTTTTATCTATCAACATGGCGGCCGTCACAGTGACGTCATGTAGAGACTGATATTTTACTTTGCGATATCAGTCATGCTTAGTGTTAATTGTTCGCAGTTTTGTTAACCAACATGGCGGCCGTGACGTCATACAAAGATTTTGCTATATCAGTCATGCTTT